TATTCTTTAATCCTATCACAGTGAAAAACAGCATCAATTTTTAAGAGTTGCCCAAAGCTGTAATCTGTGACTATAGGACAGTTTCTTTATATCAGCTCTGGACCTGGGATGTTTTGACTTTGTACAGTAATTGACAGCAGTCTAAACCTGTGTATATGATTTAAAGGATATAATTTATATTTTTCATATTTTTCTCAGGAATTTTCAGTGTTCATCTTTTACAAGTCTAGTGACAGCAATTTTTTCCAATATTATGCATAAGTAATATATTACTATAGCTTTAGATTCTTATAATAATGTGGTATCTGAGATGTAAAGGTTTTTTAATTCGATTTTTCAATTTTTCAAAAGATATGTATTTTTATATAAATTGCCATAAATATGTAGCAAAAAGAAATTTGTCTTGAAGACCATAAAGATTTGGATGGGATCCTGCTAATATTTGGTCAGAGTCCTACTGGATTTCCAAATGTTTAATTACAAAATACTGGAACTGTTTTGTGATATTTACAAAGCTAATTACTGAGAAATATCCACTTTGATTTTAGGGATGTATTTCCAAAATTATGTAAGAGGGAACTCCTTATCTGTCAGTGTTAACAAACAGCTTGTAATTTTCTCTTATGTTTTGGAATGGATTCTTCATATTACTAATTCCTAGTCATTCTTATAACCAGTGTCTGGCAAGATTATGTGCTGCCTCACCAAGGTTTGGTGACTTTTTTTTTTATTGTTATGTTAATCACCATACATTACATCATTAGTTTTTGATATAGTGTTCCATGATTCATTGTTTGTGCATAACACCCAGTGCTCCACGCAGAATGTGCCCTCTTTAATACCCATCACCAGCCTAACCCATCCCCCCACCCCCCTCCCCTCTAGAACCCTCAGTTTGTTTTTCAGAGTGGTTTGGTGACTTTTTGATAATTTTATTGACACGGTTCACTTTCTGTTCTTACCTTCTAATTTGTTTTCAATTGGGATTCTTTTTTAAGTATGAATCTTTTATTGTTATTACTACTTGCAGTTTATGGCCAGTTGTAAAATTTTCCAGTAATTCCAAGATACTGATGTCAGAAACAGATTGAGTTAATGTATATTACTTGTCTTTATTTTCTTGTTCATATGAATATTATATGCATAGGATTATCCCCCACCCCCCCCCAAAAAAGGACATTGCAAGTTACTTAGTCTCATTATTTTGCATCCTTATCTTCAACATGATAAAATTGTATATGCAATCTTGCTAAATTCACAATGATATATAAATAGTGCCATTTACAATGGACTTTAACAGAAGAACCTCTTTCATCATCACATGGTTATTAAGAATGAATTTGTTCAAAGCTACTTTTTGTCTTTAAACCACTTTTCTCTTAAAGACTGTCCTGAATTTTTATTTTGAAAGAAAGCATTTTGCATGCTAGGAGGTAAGAAACATAAGGAGGGTAATTATAATGGGATTTAAATAATTCACTTACATTTCTTTGCCAGTAAAATAAAACATGTTCTCTTAGGGCTCTTTTTTATAAGCCCTAAAATATGTCTTTCAATTTACTAATATTATAAAAGAAAAAAACACAACACTGTCATCTTCCTAGATCGAATATTACTGTTTCCCAACAACAGGTTTGGCCATCACTCAGAAGCAAGTAGTATTATGCTTTTTAGATTTTCAGATATATCTGAACTGCTGTTGATTGCTCCCCAAATCAGGTCAGATGCACTCTCCACAGGAACATTTGCCAGAGGTAGTGTATGTTCAAATGGAAGATTTTTACATTCCATAGTCAGTCTCATTTATTCTCCAGACCTCTAAATTTTTCATACTAAGTAGGAACATCTCACTTTATGAACCATGGGGTCTTTATTAATTAAACAGAGTCAACAGGGCTGATTTATTCTCTCTTCTCAGTTGAGCTACCAAGCACACAAATCAGAGAGGAAGTATCTCTAATACTAGAATGTTCTCCAAGCCAGTAAAGCGGGGATTATCTCATCATACCGATTATGTCAAAGCTCTTTAGGCACAATGCTCACCAGGACATAAAATTGAATGGTCTGCACACAGCTGGCCCTGTTCCAGCATCATAGGAAGAATTCCAGGGTTTTCTTGCAATGATCACAAAGTTCTAATTATCAAAAACAAAAACAAAAAAACTAGCCATGATCACTTATTGAATATCTGCTCTTTGCCAGGCACTTCACATGCACTACCTGAATTTTAGAAGCTTTGGTTTATGTTTGTACAAAAGACCTAGGTGTGAAATATGTACTTGAAGCATAGAAACCTTATCCCTTTGTTGGTTGTTTTGTTGTTGTTTTCCTAGTAAGTAGCTGTTGTAATTGCACATTTGGTGTTTGGGTGTGTGTTTTTTAAACCGATAGCAAGAAGTATATTGTGAACATAAGCTTAATATTTTATGGTGTAACTTTTGTATTTGGGAAAAGATCAGATGTAGATTTTTTATTTTAAAAAAGCACTTAATGAAGTTTCCTGGCAAGGATGACCTTCTAGTGGAACTTTCTCATAGTCATTGTTCAGAGTCAGTAACTACATTTCTTCCTTAAACATTTTGCTTTTGCTTAGTTTACATTATAAATTTAATGGAATGTCCATATCTAACAGTTATAATAGTTTAAGCATAAAAATATTATTTTTCAGAAAGTCTGCTAGGGAAGCATGCACCTGAAACTTGTCCCTGAGGTGGCGGTTCCTGTTTGCCTTCCATCCCACACTCTCTAATTTGGGGACATTGTTGGGAGGGAGGATTTATAATAATTTAAAGTCTCTTCTTTGGACTAAGATATTATAAATGTGCTGGTAAACATCAAAGTAAATACACCAATATTTTAAAATTAGCAAAACTGTCTCATCAAGTTTTTCCTTTTGGTTTTAAACAGGTGCTTTGTACAGAATGATGTGTCCTCATTTCACCTTGCAGCAGCATCCTGGCCCTCTTATCTTACACTCATTAGTATTTCTTTAAAACCACCTTCAATTTAGGCAGACTTCCAGCTTTCCTTAACCCCCCCACCTGCCCCCAAGACCTTGAAATGAAGTTAACCTGTGCAGAATCCAATGCTTTAGTAAGTTTAGCCTCCATAATAAGAAATTCCATTAAACCATTTTAAAGAGAATAGTAATGTGGATTACTGTCAAGAGAAGAATGATTCTTTGTACCACTTAACCACACTCTGTACTTTTGAAATTACGAAGCTGTTTGAGCCTTGCCACCTTCACCTTGATTCTTAAAACAACTTGAATTCGTTGACCCCATCATGAAGCTTTCAATGATCTTCCATGGAAAGATGAATTTTAATATTTAAACTGAGCAGTTGAACAATTTGTATTGGGGAATATGCGTAGAATTTGGGATATAGGGTCAAAAATAAACCAAATCACCACTGACAGTGAAACTGCCTATTTGAACTAAGTCCAACATTGTCAGTTATTGTCCTCAACAGCCAATAAAGTAAGTGCATTTTTGTGATAGTTCCCAAATTGTGCTCTGTGGAATACTCGTCCCGTGTGTGCCAACAGGGGCATGTTAGTTTGAATAATACGGCATACTGCTGGAGAGTCATAGAACATGTTCATATAGTTAAGGCTTAGGGAAATCCTGCAGTAAAGAAACCCATTTAGCTCTATTTAACCTAATGAATCTCAAACTTACTCGACCATAGAATTATCTTCTTTACGTAAGTTACTAAAAACCCTTTAAAAACAGACTTTGGAAATGTTACTTTGCGATGTAGGAGAAACTTTTAGAATCGCCCCCCCATCTTATTTGATCCTCCTATGTGCCAACCCATAGACAGACATGATGCTACTTTCCATGATTGAGTCTGGATAGGATAGTGGTCAAGGAGACTGATCTAGATGGATGAGGGCAGTGGGGTAAGCCAGTGAAAGAAAGAGTATCCAGGAAGAACAAACAAAATAGGTAAATTCACTGCCAAAAAAAAAAGAAGAAACAAATCATCCTAATTCTGCCAGCTGTCTGTCCAACACTCAGGAGCTGGGCAAATAGTGGTAGATTTAGGAGATTCATTCCACCAAAGGCTGAGTGTTGGATACGAGGTCTAAGAAACACCATCCACGAGGGAGAGGGCCCAGGTTGCAATGTTTCAGCAGTCCCTGAACATACCCTGTACCTGTTGTACATCCTTCCCTACTTCTGCTTGTGTTCTTCCCTGAAATGCATCGTCGTTCACTCTGTACACATGTTAAGCACCATAAATTCAGACAAGAAACACAGTTTCTGACCTCCAGGAGCTTCTTACGAAGTAAGAAGATAAACAGGCACTCGAAATAGAGTGTAATAAGAGATAACATCAGGAGTACAGATTGGAGGAATTTTGAGGAAGATTGATTCTTTGGAATTAGTAAGAGTTAACTAGATAAACAAAATGGGAGGAAGGAAGACTGTAGCAGAGAAGAAAGTATTGTTGAGGCAGGTAAAAAAAAAAAAATCAAGGTATTTCATACTATGGAAGTATGTATTTGATCCAGAAGGCATGGGTTGGCACTGAATTTTTAGCAGGAAAGCAACAGTGTCTGATTTGTCATTTAGAAAGATCTCTTGGCTGGAGTAGAGATTGAACTAACAAAGAACCAGAACAGGCAGAGAGACAAGCATTTTCCGTGACCCAGGCTATAGCACTGGAAGAGGAGAGGAAGTAAAAGACCCCACAGATGTTTCAGCAAGACAGTCCCAGGACTTGCTGACTGAATGTCGGGTAAGGAAAAGCACGGAGTCAAAGATCACACGTTCTCCTACATTCCTTTTTACCAAAGAAGAAAGAAATGGGTTTGGTTGAACCTTAAAACCTATCCAAGACTTTTTAAAACTATTGGATGGAGTTCCAGTTGCTTCCTGTCACAAGGGGCTGCTGTAGGGAGGAAGCAGTGTGCCTGGGATCAGGACGTGTGTGGATGGGTAGAAGGACAGGCAATCTTTCCGATTATAATTGCATTCCTTGTTCTTCTCAAGTCATGTAACACAGACGACGTCCTGGATCCATCCTGTGATGAGTGCACTGAACCTGTCCTGCTCAGAGGAGAATGAAGAGGATTGTTCCAGAGAACTTCCCGATCAGAAGAGCTGATGGTCTTCTGTAGGAAGCTGAGCTCCATGGTCTTGTAACATCCCATTCTACATGGATGACTCCCAACACGCAATGGTCTAAAATAGGAGCAAAACACACACTACTTATTGAAGTTCTGAAATAGAGACTCTAGAGTTAGGCTACTTTTGTAAAACTTTTTTTTTTTTTTTGCTTGTGATGAGCATTTTGTTTGTTTGTTTTATTGAAGTGTAATTAACATATAGTGTTATATTCATTTCAGGTGTACAACATAGTGATTCAACAATTCTGTACACTACTCCGTGCTCATCACAATGAGGGTACACTTAATTCCCTTTATCTATTTCGTCCATCCCCCCACCCAGCTCCCCTCTGGCAACCACCCTCTTGTTATCTGTATTCAAGAGTCTGTTTTTTTGTTCTGTCTCTTTTTTCCTTTGTTCATTTGGTTTGTTTCTTAAATTCCACATATGAGTGAGAGTATATGGTATGATGAAACTTTTTGATATAAGTATATACATTTATAAGATCAGTTGCCACTACAGTAGTTAAGAATTATCTAGTTGCATTTTTTCAAATCACATATAATTAGATTTTATATATGTATATTTTTTCATATACAATTAGATTTGTAATTTTATATATAGTTCTTTATAGAGTATCAGATACCATGGTTTTTATAATTAAGTCTTACTGGAAAATTATATGAACACAGTGAAGCACTTCATTTATTTGATAAGTCACTAACCTTTTATATTAGTATCTTAGGAAAGTGATCTGAGCAAGCTTTTGGGAGTTTCTTAATGATCACATCTGGACAACTATTTCATAGGCTACGGAATATAGTTTACATGTGTATGGGGCTCACTCATTTACTAAATGCTTCTCAGACCCTGTTTTATTTAAACCACACAACATGCCTGTGAGACAGATCCTGGGGGTATTTTTATCCTTGTTTTTCGTTAGGGAAATAGTGGTTCAGAGAAATGAAACACCTTGTCCCGGGGCTGAGAGTCACACCTGTCTTCTGATTCCGCATCCAGCCCCGTTTCCACTGCACCCCACCGTCCCTGCAGAGGGAGTTCGCAGCCCAACACACAGGCCACCGCTGTTCTGTTGACACAGCTGAGCTCCACAGTTGTGCACTCCAGCTGCCACGGAGATTCCGAGGCATCTCTGCGCTCAGACAGGGCCCCCCATATAACCCCACTGTTTTCCTATAAACCCCTCTCCCCCACACATTCACCACATCAGGGCACGGCTCTGTGATGCCCTTCCAACAGGCTTCTTTGAGCAGCTCACATTTTTCTACAGTGAAGGGACTGGCTCCCATCGGGGGTCTGCCCTGCTTAGGCTGCCCTTGCCAGAGGGAACATTTGTGGGTTGCTAATGAGAAGAGGAGCATCTGGAATCTCCTCTGCTATTGGGACTCCTCCGTGAACTCTCCTGCTGTGAGTTCAAGACTGGTCTCATGATTGCTGATATCACCCTCCAAACTGATCACGCTTTTCATCTTAAGCTATTTTATTATAAGGATGCCACTAGACAGTTTCTGGAAGGAAGGAGCCATTGACTTGGAAGGTTAAAGGTTTTCTCTCAGTTTAGTGGTTTTTAAACCTGGGGCTGGGGATTGGGGTGAAGTGGGGAGGAAGTCATTTTAAATGTCCTGGGCATTAGTTAGGTACAAGCTGAATGATAAAAAGGGATTTAGTCATATCCAATATTATGATATTGTTAGGTAATACACTTAGGAAGAAAGTGAGGAAGAATCATGAATTAATCAGAATACCCTGTTCCCAGACCATTCCTGGTAAGACCGAGAAGTTACTGTTTTTCACTGTGGTCTCTTCCCAGTACTCCCTCCCTCCTTCCGCCTCCTCCTCACTCCCCCCGCCACCTCTGAAAAACACTTAGGGGAAAGGAACCCCAACCTTGAGAATCATGTGATTCAGTCATTTTCAAACATCTTTTGGAGAAAAAGACTCATTTTTCAAATGAATCCTTAGGCAGAATCCCAATATATGTAACAGATTTTTTTTTTTAATATTGCTGCTCTACTTGAAACGAGAGAAGCCTGAGGCCCAATTAAAGGAGCCCCCCAGCACAACTGTGCAAACCTAGAGCTCCTTGGAGTGCAGTGTAAGAATCCTCAATTGTGACCATTTTATAGATGAGTCAACTGAGATCCTAAGAGGTCACAGAGTGAGTTAGTGGCCAGGCCAAGATGGGACCTAGATCCTAAAGTCTCCTAGGCTACTAAGTTTCATATGGCACGTAATATAAATGTATATTGTAAATATAGGTCTATGTTGTGCTCCCCCATTCACTCCTGAATATATATAGGATTTATAATTTACATCTTGAATAATACCATAAAGTCAAATCCAGACTGATAGGCAGTCACTAGCCCCGAGAAAAGTTTCAGAATGGCTGAAGAAAACTCGTGCTTCTCCTGACAGCTATGTGAATATTAGCAAGCTTCAGGGAGACAAGTTTTGAGAGAAGTCCCTGAGGGAGCTCCTTCCTTGTGTCCCCCAGACGTGAGTGAGATTCTCAAACACCTGAAGTTACTTTTATAAGTTAGTGTCTATAATTGTGGAAGTACAGGCTTTGGTTATTGTTAAATTAATGGTATGAAATTTCCCTCCCCCTACTGGAAGTGTTTTTCTAATTTGTTTCTAAGTGAAGAAAACACAGAGGAGACACTAGAGTCACTTGAAATCAAGGTCCTCAGGCATGCATTTTAGTGACAGACACCTCATATGTTAACTTTGCTGTTTTGTGCCACTTTCTTCCTTGCTTCCTCCTGGAATACCTCATGGAAAAGGCCTATGAAAATTGTAATGATATTCTTTGTTGAGCATTTTGTGCCATACATTGAGATGGGCAGTTTGCATAGATTACTTCATTATCTTCTTACAACCCCATGAGGTAGAAACTATAATCATCCCCATTTTGTAAAGAAGAAATTTAGGATTGGAGACAGTTGCTAATCTTTGCCTGAGGGTCACAGGGCACCTACATGTGGAAGGCAGGGTTCAAGGCAGGTGTGGCACAGCCCATTCTCTTAAACCACTCTGCAGAGCTGCTCAGATCCCCATCATGTGTGACACTGGGGGGCAGAGCTAGGTCTGTGGGTCAGTTCCTCAAAGGGGCAGATTCCAGTTCTGTGCCACCAGGAACGTTCTGGGAGTTAGGGCTCATCAGGAAAGAATTCCCCTGGAGGAAGTGAAAGCATTATTCCAGGAAGCGTTCAATCTGAACTCCTTATGGCAATGGTACTGAGGAGGTTCAGGGTCTGAATTGGCACATCTGAGATTTCTTCTTCTTTATGCTTCTATGACCTCCAAACCAACAGATAAATGCTCCCAAGAGACACTCAAAGAAATATGGTGGGGACTCATTAAGAATCCTTATCCAGTGCAAAGAGAACCCCCAGATTATTTTTTGGTGAGTTGATGTTTATCTAGCCAATCTTTCTTTAATATAAATCAACCCTATTGATGTGATAAACTTTTCTGTTGACCCACTGGCTCAGATTCTAGGGTTAGAAAATCTCAATGCTCTTATGTCCTTCCACCTCACCTCATGAAAGAGTGACCAGGGTTGGTCATCCTTACTCCTTTATTCTCAGGGTACTTACTGAGCACCAATAGTGTGCCAAGCACAGTGTGAGGCACTATAGCAAAGTAGGACAAAATAACCATTTCCTGGGTCCTCTTATTCTTGGTTGAAAAGTAAAAAGCTTCTCAGGTGGCCAGAGTTGGAACAGCTTCTCTTTAACTTCCAGATGTTAAAAATAATCTATTTCCATTGAAAAATCAAGTAGTATGGAATTGTATAAAGTGAAAAAAACAGCTCATCTCACTTTCCAGAGGTAGTCATCACAAATATTTTGATGAGTGTTTTTACTCATTTTTTACTGTTAAGCAGCTTGCTTTTGACATAATTTATTGTGGTCACTTTTTCATGTCAATACATAGATTGTTCTATTTCAAATGTCTGTGTAAAATAACATTACCCAGATAACTCATAGTTTCTGCAGCTATCAGACTGTTGATGAACCCTTAAGCTGTTACAAGTTGTCTTCTGTTACAATGTCACAGTAAACATTCTTACATTCATTAAATTCTTTTCTTCATATATACATGCACTCTTGTGCCAGTAGGTCTATAGTGGGAATACATTCATAAAAGCAAATTGCTCTGTCAAAGGTTTGTTCATTTTATTTTTTGGTAGATATTCAAAAATTCTCCACCATTAAAATAGGACCAATTTACACCACCACCAATGGTATATGAGAGTTTGTTTTCTATATATTATAGGACTTTTTATAGTGCAAAGATTGCCAATAACTTTTCTGATTGTTTTTGTCCTTAGAAGAGTAATCCTCTTTTTATCATTGTCTAAGGACCTGAATTTTTTTCCCCATTAGGTTTTAGTTGTCCCTTAGCAGCAGAGAATGCCTTGCTTATATAGGGGAGTCTGGCAATGACTAATTCACTGTCTGTTGAACACATCATTACTCTCCTCTTTTTATTGACATTTCCTACTTTATATATAATGGTGGTGAAAACCCACTCTTAATGAGCTAACTTGGGTGAGAGCCCTTAGTAAAGTACAAAACACAATGCAAACACATCTGCAAGTTCTTTGAGCCTCGGTTTCCCCATCTGTATATGGAAGAGGGTAATCCCCTGACTCTTCTCAAACCAATTCAACTCATCGACCATTTCCTGAGCACCTGCCAAATGCCAGACAAGATGCAAGGTCTTGAAGTTACCACACCAAATAGTTCTGATTCCCAAACCAAGAAACTCATAATCTAAAACCTTTTTCCTTTATTTCCTTTTTCCTCAAAAACCTTTATTTTTCCTTAAAGGAGTAAGAAGTCAGGGATTTGTTTAGTAAGAACCCCTGAAGTGAGGCCCTTTATCACTCTCTCAAATTCGAATAATTCCAAAATAATATTAACACCCCTTGACTAGAAATGAAAGAGAAACATACTGTGAGGAGGGGCTCTCCAATAATAAATGTTAAGCAGCTGTAAAAATACAGAATCAAATGATACCTCCATAAAATGTTTGCAAAATTAGAAAATATTATCCTTTTTCTGGGGGGAAATGGATATTTTTATTTTCTCTGCTAAAGTGAACTGCAACTTTTTCAGAGGCCAACAAACTTCAATTCTACTATCTACAGAACTACCATTAAAACAACTTATTGCACGTAGCTTTTGAGGAGATGAACTTTAAACAGAATATGCCCATGGGAACTTAACTTGAGAAATAAAATACCTGAGGTGTTTTAACCACAACTCTCCAGATGTGGTATTACTGTGCCTGCATGATGATTATCTAAATGTTACGTGAAATTCTGTATGC